CCTAAAACTGCTCTAAACATAAAATTTTATTTAAAAAATAATAACAATGACTATTTTGAGAATATTGAGACAAGGCAGATCTAGTCAGTATGCTAATACACCAGTCAACAACATCTAAGGGAGGAGAGAACAGATAGTAGTCAATGCAAATGGAAGTTTTTATAGTGCTCAGGAGGATGGGAATATTGATTATAGAATTTATGTCAAGAATGCATGATAAATTTGTGGAGAAACTGGATCTCTCATACATCACTGATGGGAATGTAAAATTATAAAACAGTCTTGCAGTTCCTTTCAGAACTAAAAATGGACTTACCACACAACCCAGCAATTACATTCTTGGGCATTTATCCCAGAGAAATGAAAACTTATTTTCAGGAAGAATTTGTACATGAATGCTTATAGCAGCTTTATTCGTAACAGCCCCAAACTGGAAACTACTCAAATGCCATTCAATGACTGAATGGTTAAACAAACTGTGATGTATCCATACCATGGAATACTACTCAGCAATTAGAATTGAATGAACTATTGGTACAGCAACCTTGGATGAACCTGAAGGAAATTTTGCTGAGTGGGAAAAAAAGTTAACTTCAAAAGTATACATACTTCATGATTCTACTTATATAATGTGTGAAATTATATACAGATGGGGAACAGATTAGTGGTTGCTGTGGATTAGGAATGGGGTGGAAGAGAGGATAGTGTATCTCTAAAGGGGTTACATCAGGAAGTCTTAGGGTGATGGTACAAATGAGTATCTTGATGGTGATGGTTACACGCTCACACATACACAGACTTTAGTGTGTGTATGACCAAGGAAAGATGAATTTGTTGGTTTTGATATTCACTCTAGTTGTATAATTTGTTCACATGGTGAGTGTGGCCAGAAGGATGTATGTGACCTACTTGTACAATTCATTGCAACCTACTTTGAATCCATAATAAAAAAAGTTTTAAAGTTAATATAATTATTAAAAAAGTGGACATGAGATTTATAATTTTCTTAACAGAAGAGTAGGGAGAAAAGAGAATAAAGAGAACCCAACTAATTCTGAGAGAATGTAGGAAAGAAGAAAGGAGAACTCTCTTGCAAAGAATAAGCAAGATACCCTGGGTTCAATCCCTGGTACCAAAAAAAAAAAAAAAAAAAGAATAAACAAGATAACTATACACACACACACACACACACACACACACACACACAAATAGTAGACATAAATGAAAATATATTGATAGTCCCTTGGCAATTGAGAGACAAAAGCAGTCCAAAGTTTAGTAAGAATATTGAAGATTTGATTGATGGAAGTAGAATAGATATAGAAAACGCAGGTAGAACATCTGTAATTTTAACAATTAAATGCTTTGCTTTTTAAGCATACCTTGGGCACTTACAAAACATGACCACACATTACTACATTACAAATTGAATTTTACTTTATACTATGTACTAAATCATAAAGTAAATGCTGATTTAAATGCAGCATGTTTTCTAACCACAATGCTATAAAATTAGACACTAGTAAAAATGTGATAACCAACACCTCATTCATTTAGATTTTTAAAAAACACCCTCTGAATAAATAAATCCCAGATAAAAGCCATAAAATATTTAGAACTGAATGATAATCATTGTACATGCCAAAACTAGGCATGCAGCTAAAACAGAAGATGTATTCAAAGAGAAAGTATAACTATACTTGCACATATTATTAAATAAGAAGAAAAAGAGAAGCTAATGAGCTAAGAGTTCAAATAAAGGAGTGAAGAAAAATGAGTAAACAAAATAAATGTAGTAAAAATCTGGGAATGAAAGAAATATATGTATATCAACTACAGAAAAATGTTATTTTTCTCATGGCAAGTGAAGAGACTGGAATAAACACAACTACATTTGTAGCATTTTTATTTCCTTGAGCAAAAATATAGTTTTATATATAACTTATATGCATAACTTTATTTTACATAGCAACTTTATTTAAATATGATTCACACATCATACAATTCACTCATTTAAAGTGGACAATTTGTTGGGTTTTAGCATATTCATAGAATTACGCAACTGTAATCACAAGGAACTTTAGAACAGTTTATTTCCTTACAAGGAAACCCCACCTTTATGTCGTCTCTCATCCTTACCCACCTTAAACAAGCCATTAATGTACTTTCCGTCTTTATAAATTTGCCTGTTCTGGAAATTTCGTATAAATAGTATCCTCTAATATGTGAACTTTTGTAACTGGATTCTTTGACATAGCACAGACTTTTCAAGTTTCATCCATTTTATAGCATGTATCAGTACTTCATTCCTTTTGATGGCTAAATAAGATTTATTTTGATGTAATTTTTTAATTTGTTCTTTTTAGACGTATATGACATTAGACTGTATTTTGACATATTATACATACATGGAGTATAACTTAATCTATTTGGGATCCCATTCTTGTGGAGTTTCACTAGTTGTGTGTTCATATATGAATATGAAAGTTATGTCCGACTCATTCTACTGTCTTTCCTATTCCCTAGTAAGATTTTATAGTATGACCGTACCACATTGTGTTTATTCACTTATCACTTAACAAACATTTAGATCATTCCCACTTTTGGCTATTTTGAGTAACACTACTACTATGGACATTTCTGTACAAGTTTTTGCATTTACGTATGTTTTCATTTCTCTTGGATATATAGCCAGGCGTGGAATTGCTGGATCAAATGAAAATTCCATGATTACTTTTTGAGGAACTGCCAGACTGGTTTCCCAAGTTGCATTGCTTTACATTCCCACTAGTTGTGTATGAGGGTTCCGATTTATCTACTCCTTGCTGAGACTTGTTATTATCTGGTCTTTGATTATTGTCATCTTACTTGGTATGGTCATTATAGGCTTTGATTTGCAGCTCTGTAACGATTACTGATGTTGAGCATCATTTCATGTGCTTTTTTGGCCATTTATGTCCTCCTTGTTGAAATATCAATTCGTGTCCTTTGCCCATTTTAAAATCAGGTTGTTGATTTTTGTTGTTGTTGTTGAGTTGTATGTGTTGTGTATGTACTATATTCTGGATATTAGTCCTTACTGCTTTCTATGATCTGCAGGTACTTTCTCCAGTTCCATTGGTTGCCTTTTCACTCTGTTGATAGTCTCCTTTGATGCACAAGATTTTGATCTTGATGATGTCCAACTTACCTATTTTTTTCTTCCATATCATATCAGGAAATCATTGCCAAATCTTGCCACTAATTTTTAAACACCCAGCCGGATGTCATTGGAACTGTTCAGAGAATGATTTAAAGAATTTTGAAGTCAAGTATTTCTATTCAGTAATTTACTTTTACAATTATGGAAGATTTTCATAATTATCCATTCAATGTCAAATTTCTTTTGAATTTTTATTTTCCTGATTGCTGCCAAATGCATTAGATTGTAAATAGAAAGCATGGAAATAGTACATTGTATTGTGATACAATTGTTCCCCATGAGGAGTAGTGATCAAAATTATTGCCAAGTGCCTTTATTAGGAAAAGAAAATTCTTAACTGATTAAAGACCTTGGATATTATATATCAACTATAAAATGAGTTTTCAACTTTTTTTGCTTCAGTGTTTTTAAATGCTGAGTTTCATTTCAGCTTGTATAATAGAGCTCTGAGACTTCAAAGACATTTTGCATTCTGCAAAGGATTTCTTGTGGTTGTAATGTTCATTTGAAATTCAAATAGCTCCTTGGGGTTTGAAGCCTGTAGAAGTTACATGCTGTAGAATAAAAGAAGGAAAGGTCCCTTGTATCATTGCTAATTTATGCTTACAGAAGATATTCTACCTGTGTACTGAGATGGGAGCAGCAAATCCATCTTTTGAAGTCATCAAATAATTCATGAGCTCTCTATGATAAACATCTTGGGCAATGTGTAAGAACTTAATTTTGTAATCTCATAGTTCTTATTTAAACCATTATATAATACTAGCTTGAAGTTAGTATTTATTGAACTTCTTATTTGTGTAGTTGGTGATGTAAAAGACTCAACAGAAGCATAAGAATTGGTTCTTCTCCTTCAGAGAATTTGCCTTCTCTTTATAGAGCCTAATGACACTCATGACAATATCAAAGAAGCAAGGGTATTTGCCATGTACAGTCTAAGAAAGTAAAGATGAGTTAGGTGGTCTAAGAAGGTCTCAAGATGGCAGGCCAGGAGGGTAAAGTCCAAATGGAGTGGGCAGAGGAAGGGAACTACACCACCCAGGTGAATGGAGTGGCATGAAGTGTCCCATGTGACCCAAGAGTGGCCTGTGACAGATACCTGGGGCAGGAGAGGCAAGTCAACTATGCCATAAACAGTTGGATGGTCAGGAAGAGGGCTGATTATGGGAGCTAAATAGTAGTTTTGTATTTTATGCAGTCAACTACAAAGAGACATTGACCGGGGGAGTGTGGGAAAATGCAGTGTCTCTCTAGTGGAGCTCCTAGAACTTCAGAGATAAAGGATATTCTGGAAACATCCAACATCCCCTTTTCACTGAGTGAAATAACTTGTTCAAGGTCACCCATATAGAAAATAGCAGATCTGTATCTTAGATTTTCCTTTAATTACAAGTCCTATGATCTTTCTTTCATCCCACAGTCCTTTAGAATATATTAAAGAGAATAGAAAATGGACCGAAAGCATCAGAAAGAAGTATCAGTGGGAGAAAGTTGGAACTGAGAACTCTTTTCTTTATTTTAGTGAGTGAGGCAAATAAATACCTGTAGAATTCAGAGAAGGACCAAATTATTTCTCAAAAATAGTATTTGATTAAAGTGAAAAACTAATCCTGATTAACCATATCCACATTCCAAACCTACCCTGGCAAATGGATGCTAAGTGAAGCTCAAATGAATGAATGAATGAGTGAGTGAATAAATGAATGAATACATCAACTTAAATTTGTCTCTTTTTTTTAGTAAATATTTTACAAGTACTATTTAAAGTATCATTTAAAGAAAATATTTTCTTTTACAGGTTCACCTTTTTGGAGTTTTGCTGGCTATTTTAGGAAACTTGGTAATCAGCATTTCCCTAAATATTCAGGTAAGAAAAGAAAAAAACAACTTATTTTTCTAACTCTGTAGTTTGATCCAGGAACATTTTGTGACTTTGATAAGACTTAGTCACTTTAGCCTTTATGGCTCTTTCTTCCTTAAAACACAATAGGGAAAAAATTGTATTTTTCAAACTCATTGGTATAAAGACAAATTTAATTCAGGCTGGATTGCACTAACATATTTTTTCCTTTTCTGATTTTAAAAGAACTTAAATATTTTTGAGGGCCCCTAGTAGTATTGTGGACTGTATGTATGCCATCCATTATAATATATGCCATCCATTCATGTCTAATGGATGAATTACCTGATTTGATTTTTTGGTATCTTGATTTCTTTCATTGGCCTTATCCCCAGATGAAATACAAATGTTTTTTAGAATCAGTTTTAGGGGTACAGGGTTTTCTTTCTTTGTTTAAAATACTGTTAAATATGTCTGTGTGAAATAAAGTTCTAAGAAAGAATACAGTGTATAAAATAGGAACTTCCTCTAAAAGATGAATTAAAATCCTAGAAGAATTGCTGATTTGTTGAACTAAAAACTGAATGAAATATTAATTTTGAACCAAGTCATGAATGAAATAAAAAATTTTGTCTTAATTAGTTTGAAACAGAATCACAGTTTCTAAAAATTTTGAATCAAATAAACCTGAACATTGAAATATCTCCCAGAATATTATATAATTTTATACAAACTCTTGCTAGAAAATAGCCTACTAAACTATCAATAATTACTAAGATATGTATTTGTTACTAAAAAAAAAATACAAAAATAAATCATTTTCCCTATTGTGTTAATCAGATTTTCATCACTTTGAGAAAATCAACTAATAAAAGAAAGGTTTATTTTGGCTCATGGTTTCAGAGATTTTATCCTTGTCATTTGGATCTGTTGCTTTGGGCTTGTGGCAGCATAGTACATCATGGTGGGAGCGCCTGGAGGAGGCCTGTTCACCATATGGTAGTGAGGAAGCAGACAGAGGAGGAGAGAAAGGGGCCAAGGTCCCATCCCCTTCAGTGGCACACCCTGATAACCTAACTTCCTATGGTAGGCCCTGTCTTAAAAACCACCTCCTAACAGCACCATAAACTGGCAGTCAAGCCTTTCATATCTGGGCCTTTGGGGGACATTCCAGACTTGAACTATGACACTTATTAAAAAAAAAAAAAAAGGAGGAGGAGGAGGAGAAGGAGAAGAATTCAAAGCATATAAAAGAAAAATTGCTCAGAAGTAACCACTATTGATTATGTGTTTTTTCCAAATCAGTTTCTATGCGTAAACAGCATACATACATATATTTGAGTGGGTATTCCAAAATGTATATAACCATCTCTTATTTAAGAACACACTACAGGACAAACAAATTGGCTTTTGCTGTTATAAATAATGATAAAATGAGTACCTATTAATATAAAGATACATGTTCCTTCTATACTTACGTGACTGTTCTGTAGGTCAAAGAGTGTTTTCATTTTAAATATTGCTAGGACCATGCAAATTGATTTCTGTGTGGATTGTACCATATTATGCTCATACAGCAGTTTGGCTGTGACCATTCCCCATATTCTCAATACCACATATCATTAGTTATGTGGTGAGGGCAGGGAATGATATCTGATAGATGAAAATGGTATTTTATTGTTTCAAATTATTTGCATTTCTTTCTTTATTCATGAGGTTAAGATCTTTTCTCACTTGTAATTTTACTTCTATAAATTACTGTTTCATATCCTTCATATATCGTCTCTTGGATTCCCTGGGGGTGTGGGGGGGTTCCATTTACTTGTTGGAATTCTATTTGTATTAATGATATTAAACCTTTATCACTTATGTGTTGCAAAGGTTTTCTCCCACTGTGTTCTATTGTTTGTGCTTTAAATTTGTTCATAGTATTTTTCTATACAGAAGTTTATTTTTTGTCTTTTTAAATTTTTTTAATTGGTTCATAATTGTATAGAATAGTGGGTTTCATTGTGGCACATTCATACATGCACGTAATACAATTTGACCAATTTCAGTCCTAGAACCTTTCCTTGGCCTCCCCTCTGCCCTTCCCCTGTTTCCTTTTCTCTACTTAACTGGAGAGAAGTTTTTTTTTTTTAAATACAGTAAAATATTTGCTTTTCTGGCTTATAGATTTTTGTGTCACACTTACAAAGGTGTTCCTATTATGCCAAGATTTTTTTGTTGTTAATGTTTTGTATTTTCTTCTAATACTTTCATTATTTTGGTTTTTGAAAATTTTAAGTAATCTAGAATTATACACAATTCTCATAAGAAAGCATCTTAGTTATCATAAAATCATTAGGGAAATGTCTTTATTTAATGCCCATTTTTCATGAATTTATATTTGGTTTAGTTTTGTTTTTGCAGTACAGGGGATCAACCCAGGGCCTTGAGCATGCTAAGCAAGCATTCTACTACTGAGTTATATCCATAGCCTTTTATATTTTTTTTAAATACAAAGAAATATTAAATCAGACATAAATAAGGGTCAGATTATATCCCTTCACAATTCCCAGCTGCTAAAGCATTCTGCCCTGCTATGTTAATTGTGATAGGTACTTTGACCCATAAATCTGATTTTTCCTTAAAAAAGTTTCCCTTTACTAATTTATCTTTATTTAAGTAACATTTATTTTGGCATCTGGAGTTACTTAACATTCTAAAAAAAATGTTTTTGGTGTACTGTTCTAGAAGATCTCTTGACATCTTAACATACCTTTCATTTTTTTAAAATAGTAATAATGATACATATTTTACACAGTTGTTATGAAAATAAAGCAATGTACATATGTTAAAACTCCCTTGAAACTATAAAATACTATATGAATATGAGTTGCTCCTGCTGCTAATATGTTTGGGACAAAGAAGGAATCATAATTGCTCTATAATCTGCAAATAAGTTTAAATGCCATAATGTAAATTTAGGGGACCCAAAATTTCAAAGCAAGTTTTACTTGGATGGAAGTGTTTTTTTATTTGCATTCTGATTTATTTCCAGAAATATTCTCATCTTCAGCTGGCACAACAAGAACACCCAAGGCCATACTTCAAGAGCGTGCTTTGGTGGGGCGGAATCTTCCTGATGGCTATCGGGGAGACAGGGAACTTTGCCGCCTACGGACTTGCTCCCATTACTCTGATCGCACCATTAGGCTGTATGTCTGTTGCAGGTGGGCCATTTTTCTATATTTCAACAAATAGAAATGTTAAGATATTGGGATAATTGGGGGGAAAAAGCACAGAAGAAGAAAATCTATCCACTGTTTTCTTAGTGTGTTAACATGGAATTATGCTTCAAATTGCAGTTACCCTCTCAAGCTGATATATTAACCGTGAAGAAACTTGTGTTTTATAGCTGTCCCATTTACATTTAAAAGCCTAATCCTCAATGTCTGCATCTTATAAGTTAATAGTAGTAATTGAAAATGTTATACTATGCTTTTAATCAATAATGGATTTTTTAAATCATTAATGGATTATCTAAAAGCATTTATAATGCAGCTTTACTTTATTCAGACGTTAAACTTACATTTAGAGTTTTTGTTGTTCGATCTTAACTCCATAGTTTAACATCTCTTTGACACTAAAAATTAAATATTGCTGATTCAATTACCATAAAATGTATAATTTTATAGCATTGTCACAATTCTCTACCTTCAAGATTTATTAAATACATTTAGAAAAGAGTATAATGAGATGTTGCTGAAGACTTTAAAAAAAAAAGAGCAAAAATCACTGCAAAAAAAGAGAACAAATTCTCTAAGTCCTGTTAAAATCAATAAAATCTTTTTGGTTTTACTCTTTATCTGTTGCCATGGAAACAGCATGTTTTTAAATTTCTGTGAATTTAGACCCTTCATAGAAATAGAAACAAGTTGACAGTCATTGTGAACAACTAGAGCAAGCATATCATATCTCATATATCCTAATTTTAATATATCTCTTAAAATATGATATCCCTAAAGAAATCATAGCTTAAACTGAAATAATGCATATCCAAAGAGAATTTCACTTTATTTTGAAAGTGGCTTCCCTTATTAATCTTCTAAAATATTTTAAAATACTTCCATGGTGTATGATAGAATATTTTACAAGGAACACTTATTTCACTTTCTAGAAATTTAGTTAAAATCCCCATACTAATACTACCCTAGAGACAAAAATATATGTAGTTACTTACCATTTTCAACTCTCAATGAAATGAGCAAATTGCTTGTGTCTTATCTTCTATTTACTGCATATGACACATTCATGGGCATTCTAGATTATTTTTCTTCTCAAAATCTAAGAAATAACAGATAAAACATCCTGTTAGATTGTCAACTTGGCATCTTTCCAGTTGTTCTGAAAATGTTGTATTATTCTTTAGATTGTGCATTTAGTGCTGATCTTTGTTTTGTTTCTTACTCTGTTTTATGTTCAGTTTTCATGAAATAGTTGAAGAAAAAGTGTCTGGGCATATCAGAAAGACACCTGGGAGTGAGTTTTGTGCACCACATTGTAATTGAAATTCTCCATTTATCTCATGTCTTCTAGTTTGGGTTAACTGTTTTTTTTGTTTTTGTTTTTGTTTTGCATGGGTGGGGTTTAAATGAGAATTTGGAGGGTCAGCAGTAATACCCCTCGAAGTCCTTCAGTTACACTATGAATCTGCCCATTCTTCCCTAACTTGCTCAAAGTTCTCATTAATAATAAGCATCTTAAGTTTTCCAACCTTCCACTCAGAAAACATCTTGTTCTCAAGAGTCCCCTGCAGGGCCAGTTCGCCAACCTTCACACTTGGAGCCCACTGCCTTGATACATGGGTTTTCTTAATGCTGCAGGTTGTTTTCCCTTGTGTGCTCTTAACCCTGATAAAAGTTTCAACTTCAGGACATTTTTAGTTACCCTTCTCTCTGACCATTTTAATAGTTTTAAAGATATAAATTGATAACTTCAAACACAAATCATTCCTCCTTGACAATCTTTGCAAACAGTGATAAATGTTCATAAATAGTATTCGCACTGCACTCCACAGCTGAATTTGAGGTTATTGTGAGGTGCCATGGATGGTAAGAGACCCCTGGTGATAGAGAATTGCTCTAGAACACCCCCTTAATACCCTTTATAAAGATTCTAGAAACTTTAGAATTCAAAACAAAAGGGAAAGCCTTTTTAAAAGAAAGGGCTGAGTCTATAGATAAGCAGAATGAATAGTGTCCACTCTTCTATGCTAGAACCCTGCCTCCATTACTTTGAATTTAAAAAAAAGAAGATAATATATTGCAATTTTGCATGGGGAATTATATATTCTTTTCTGATCTTTCTTCTGTTTTTTGCTTTATTTTAAAAAAAAAAAAAGACAGTTAAAATTCAGATACTTTAAAACGTTTAGACCTTAAGTTGAAGTGAAAGGTGCTTTCTTCCAATTTTCACTCTTGCCATAGATATTCTGGTTCACACCAATGCCAACATACTGTGTTCCTTTTTTTTTTTTCCCCTAGAAGTAAGGAGATAGTGTGTGGGTAAATATATGCATCTGTCTTATACATGTAAGATGGCTAAAATGTCAGATCTGCTATTTTGTCTTACATAATCACATTTCTGCTTCTTTTTCTGTATACATCAACAGATGAAAAACAAATATATATATATATATATATATATATATATACACATACATATATATATAAAATATATATTAAAATATATATTATATATATGATATACATGTTATACATGATATATATGATATATAACATAAGGACTGGTATATAAGAAGCATTGTGGGGATTTTAGTTTGCTTTTTCCCACATTTTCCTGACTTGAGCCATCATCCTTTCTATCCTCCCTTTCCTGCTCAGTGTCCCTTCTGTTCCTCACTGACATGTTCACCCTCAGGTAGCTTTTCTCAAACATTAGTTTTATAGGCAGTTTCATAGGTCTTCTAAGAAACGAAGAATTCTATAGTCAAACAAGTTTCTGCAGTTTGGGATTTAGAAAATTATACAGTTCATTAATATAAGGGCATCTCAGGGCCTTGGAATAGGCCCCTGGCACTGTGAATCCTTCAGAGGTAGATGCAATGAACCAAGTCTCCAAAACCTATTAACCCCAAATACTTTTATGTGGAGCATCTCAAGGGACCACAATTTTTGCAGAAAACCTCTCAGCAATGATCACAAGTAGTTACATCATGCTAGAGACTCAGCCTAGATAACCTGCCAGTGCCGAGCACTGGAGATTATACAGTAAGGAATAATCTTAGCACGTAGGTGGGTCTGAGTGCCCAGGCCTGGCTCCATGTTTTTGAAAGGAGTCTTTGGAGTCTTTGGAGCCTTCCTATCTTCATGTTATCACTTTACTTTTCTTGCTAAAGATTTTTCTTAATGAATAATAGCTTTTTCTGATGAAAATGCTAGCTATACTGGCAGTATGGTTAATTCTAGATGTTGGTTTGTTTCTGTGTTTTCATTAAGAAACCTCAATGGTTTCCATTTTCATCTAGAGTGTAGGCTATTGCCTCAATAAGCCAGGCAGTGGAATGCAGGAGCACAAGCTTTGGGGACAATGTGCTCTGGTCCAGGTCTTAGTCCTGCTCTGGCAATCTCTATCACTTCATGCAAGTTGTTTTAACAAATGTATACCTCACTGATCTGTAAAATGGGAGTGAAAATAATTTCTGTGTCTGTGGTTGTTCAGAAAAATTTAGTAAACACAACCACTTAAGAAAAGTATTTGACATGACAACACTAGCTGTTGTCATTGTGATTTATCATTATTATTATTACATAGAGTACACTGTTCTTTATAATGGAGTTTATTCCCATGCTCCCCCCCCCCCACCGCAAATAATAATGATTACAGTCTCTAAAATGAATGAACCAGTTCAGGAAATGCTTTTTTATTGTTCATATCCTTGCAATGATTCCTTGGTAGGGAGCAGAAAAGTAGGGTCCTCTGAACTCATTTGTTCAGTTTAATCACCTTTCAATTTTTCCACATTGTCTATTCAGAAACATGTTGGAAAAATATCAGCATTTCCAAAAAAAGAACCCAAATGAGACACATTTGAAGAAACAGGTCTGCCGTTTGCATGGCCGTCCAGCTGTGTGCAGCAGCGCCATCTTCTCACTCTGGCTTCAGAACACATTTATTCACTTGCAAATGAACTCGAGGCTGAAGGGCAGATTTCTTTCTGGTCCAACTGTGATTTGAGAATGTATTTTCTGGGAAACTCTCTGTTACACCAGAAATCCACTGAAAGGAAATAAGTTGGATATTCTGTAATTCAATTTTAGATGGCCAATCCTTCCTGTCTCAGGTAACCCCCCTTCCTCAGGAGCCCTTCCCTGGTATCTGAACTGTGTTAAGCAGCCGAATTTTCTGCACTCTTCCCACCCTACACGGGACCTTCTCTCATTTATGTGATGCCATTTTTCGAATTAGAAAAAGGCAGCCCTTTCTCATGACAACTTTATTTCTGTCTACAAATTATTGTAATACATTAATTTTATTAAAGCAGGACACTCTGGTGCCACCTATCAGAAAACTGTCCTTAGAAATACGTGAGTTGACAAGCTCTGGGAGGCAGGTGGTGACTCCTGGAATGCAGAGCCCCTGCACACCTCACCTGCACAGCCTGCATGGTGACACAGTGGCCTTGAGCTATGCTTCCCTCCAGCAGGGCTCTCATGCTCACAGCAGTGTCTGTCCTCACCATTCAGCGGAGATGCAGGAGACAGGAGGTTGTACCTCATTGCTTGACGTCTGCTCTCACAGTGCAGAAAATCACACAATACAGCCTGTAGAATTTGAATTTTGATAAAACAGGTATTGGATGTTCTGTTCTAAGGTGCTGAAAGAGCAAAACACTTGCTTAAAAGATTTCAATTCCTGATGAAACCCAGTGGTTAAACAGTTGTTCATTGCAAGGCACTCATGAATATTCACACTTGTGAGTACTTAGAGGTTTCTAAGCCTGTCCCTTGCGTGTTGAGTTGGATTATGTGTGCCTCTGCAAAGCGTGGCCTTACATTTAATGTTGTCTCTTTTCTGTTTATCCCCCATGACTGTGATCTGCGTTCTGCCTCAACATTTAGAGACAATTAAAAATAATGAAGTTATCAACAACCCAAAAAACTGAAGCCCATGGAATTAAGGAGTTCCGTGGTAGACGTCACTCAGTATA